GCTGTGTGTACATTAATGAGGAAAAAAAATTAACTAAAATGATTTTAGCAAATGGCTGCAATATAACAGAGTGAAAAATTTAAGGGGGTCTGAATAATTTCCGTACCCACTGTATCTCTTGAATGCAATGTCGAAACTTCACTTAGTACACATGAACAACAAGACATTCTGAGGAAACACACCAAATTGAATGCATTTTTAATGCTTAAGGGGCTAACAGCAATTTCTAAAATATCACCAATTTATATCAAAGAAAGTTATTACTTTGTTATTTCAGAAAGTCATTAACTTGTCTAAAATCTATTACTGACATTTTCAGGTGATGAAGAGGCACCAGATTCAAACTCTTTAAGAATTGTGCTGATTGGAAAGACAGGAAATGGAAAAAGTGAAACAGGAAACACCATTCTAGCGAAAAACGAGTTTAATGCTGAACCCAGTACAGATTCTGTGACGACTGTCTGCATGAAAGGAGTTGGAGAGCTTCAGGGTATATCTGTAGCTGTTGTAGATACTCCAGGTCTCTTTGACACCACACTGTCAAATGAACAAGTGCAGGAAGAAATTGTGAAATGTGTTTCCCTGTCAGCACCTGGACCCCATGTCTTCATTATTGTTGTGAGTGTGGGAAGATTCACTAAGGAGGAGAAAGACACTCTCAGTCTGATAAAGGGGATTTTTGGTTTAAAGGCTGCACAGTTCAGCATTGTTCTGTTCACAAGAGGAGATGACCTGGGGAACCAAACAATAGAACAATATGTAGAGAAAAGTAGAAGTGCAGAACTCAAGAAATTGATCAATGAATGTGGAAACAGGTTTTTGGTTTTTAATAACAAAAAAAAGGAAGATCACACACAAGTTACTCAGCTATTTGATATGATAGAACAGGTGAAAAAATATAATCATGGGCAATATTTCACAAATGAAATGTTTGAGGAAGCAGAGATGTCTATTAAAAAAAGAGTGGAGGAAATACTGAAAGAAAAAGAGAGAGAAATACAAGCAAAATATGACATGGAAATGGAAAATATGATGGCAAGACTGAAAGAGGAGAAACGGAATGCAGATGAGGAAAGGAAGAAAATGGACAAACAGATCAGAGAAAAAGAGGAGACTCTCAAAAAAGAGTTTGAAGAGAAAGATAAAAAAGAACTGAAGAGACGAGAGGAGGAGGACAAGAGACGATCAGATGCAGAAAAACAACAAAAAGCTGAATATCACCAAAATATTGAAAAGATACAGAGAGAAATGGAAAATCAGAGATCACTCTATGAAAAACAGCAAAGAGAAAAAGAAGAGGAGCATAAAAAGAGAGAGGAGAAATTTAAACAAGATCAAAAAAAGCTTAAAGATGAGCAAAAGCATGTCATGGCAGAATTAAAAAGGGAACAGGAAGAGGAAACTAAAAGGAAACATTTGGATGAACGAAGGAGGATAAAGGAGGAAGAAGAAGAGAGACAGAGATGGGAAAGAAAAATAAAAGAGCATGAAAATGACAAAAAGGACATTCAAGAGAACATTAAACAACAGCAGAGAGAATGGGAAGAGGAAAAGAAAAGACAGATGAGAGAACGAGAGGAAGAGGACAGAAAGAGAAAAGAAAGACATGATGAACAATTGAGAGAAAAACAAGTGGAACTGGAGAAAATGATAAAGAAATCTGAAAGAGAGAGAGAAGAAGAGAGACAAAAGATAGAGGAGGAGAGACAGCAATGGAGATATGCAGAGAGAAGAGTAAGAGAGCAAAAAGAAAGGGATTTTGAAGAAAAGAAAAATGAAATGAAAAAGCATTATGAGCAGTTGGCACAAGAGAGGAATCAGGAGTGGGAGAGAATTAAACAAATGGAAGATGAGAGACGAGAAGAGGAGAAAAGGAGATGGAAGAAAATGATAGACGATCTTAAAAAAGAGCAAGAAGAGGAGATCAGCAAAAGAAAAGAAAAAGAAGAAAAAGAACATGATAAAATGAAAGAGGAATATGAACAGAAAATTAGATATATAAAAAAGGAACATGAAGATGAAGCCAGAAAACAAGCAGAGACATTTAATGAGTTCTGCAAGAATAAAGATCAGCTCACCAATGAGCTCAGTGAGAAGCTTGAAAAAAAACTAAAAGAATATCAAGACCTGGCAGAACTGTATAATCACTTCCGAGAACAAACAAGTGGGCAAGGATTCTGGGAGAAATGTGTCATTCAATGAAAAAAAAAAACATGACTTTAATGTGAAATGACTGAGTGTAGGTGGTTTCTTAATATAACAAAGGAGGTGTATACAATCTAAGGATTCTTCATAGCAACCTATGTGTGTTGTTTCAAGAAAGCAACCATACATTTTTTGTTGTTTTACTTCTTTCTGTTATATTCACTTGTTATTCATTTAATCATTCATTTATTTTCATTTATTCATTCATTTATAATCACTTGTCATTTAATCATTTTATTGCATGTAATCATATCCTCATTTATAATCATTAAAACCGTTTATATACTCATTTCGTTGATTCATTAATTGATTATAGTCAGTGGCAGTTGCAGGACCCCCAGAATCATTTGAAATATTGCTACCAGGCAATGAATTTGAAAAAAATTTGCTACCAGGTTGTTTCACCTGAACTAAAAATGAAAAGACTTTGGCAATAATGTTTAAAATATGATTTATTTATGCACACCTGTGTTGCTGGTTTACAGTCATACAGTTGTTTAAAATTTGTTTTCTCAAATACTATACCACAAAGTATTAAAATTTTACCTTTAAACATCTTTGACATGTCAGTTGTCATTACTCTTTCCAATCAAATTAACAAAAGAAGACCACATATGACAATGACAATAACACCCAATGTTGTTCTTAATAATGCTTTACTGATCTTTTGAATCATATGCCTTTGCTTTCTTCCACTAGTGGTCATAAATATTGTGAGGAAAAGGTCACATTACTGAAACATATTTTTGCCATTTGAACATAAGGTGTGTATTTTGTGCATTTATGTAATAATTTAATGCATTGAAATCAGTCTTAAACCTTACTAGATACAGCCACACTACACATCTCTGAACTGTATGAATGAACTGTGAATTTCAGCTTTTTCAGTATTCAGTTTAGTGTAGTTGGTGTAGTTATGGCAAACTAGCTTACCTTGGATACATCTGTCGTTTTGAGGCAGACATAGTGAAAAAGCAACAATTGTACAATCTGAAAGTTCCTGTTGTAATTTGATTTTGCAATTATTCGTTTACAAATATGTTTGTAATAAGTGTCCACTGTATTTTGTCCCTTGAATAAAAATTTCCAAATAACACACTGAAATTTGACTATTTTATTAAAATAAAAATGCAAATGTGTTTTTCTTATCTATGTTTAAGTGAAATCACAGTTAAATAATTTTAAATGTACATGTCAACATCTTGATTAGTGCTCTTTAAATATAAACACCAAAATGTTGAAGGCAGCAAACAATCAAACACCAGATAGACAGTCCAAGGTAAAACACAGGTAAGGAAAAAAACAAGGAACTAGGAAAAACACAGAGACTCGGAGAACGATACAGGCTAACAATCATCAGCGATGTGAGTGTGAGTAAACCAGATTGATGAGGTAATGAGACACAGGTGAATGCAATCAGTGATGAGTCCAGGCAAATGATTATGGGGAATGTAGTGTGAGAATGTGACAGTCGGTGTGGTGTCAGTGTCTATATAACGGGAGGGCGTCCTCTGGTGGCAAGCGGACGGAAGTCCATGGACCAGATTCGTGATAGATCCCAGTTTAGAGAAGCTGTAAAGTGTATTCGTTGTTTTGGCCATCTCTTAATGATTAGCAATGAACAAAACTAGAACCATAACGGTTGCCACCTTCAGTGTAGAAAAATAAGTGATATGTCTATTCAGGATATGTCTGTGCAATGAGACTGAAATGAAGGAAAGAAGCATTAGAGCAGCATTTATAATGTTTATGAAGGATTAAATATTAAAACAGATAAATGAGGTGAGGTGTCGCAACATCTAACTACTGGGGTGCCTCAGGGCTCAGTTCTTGGACCACTTCTCTTCTCTGTCTACATGGCATCACTAGGTTCTGTCATTCAGAAACATGGCTTTTCATATCACTGCTATGCTGATGACACTCAACTCAACCTCTCATTCCATCCTGATGATCCGACGATAGCTGCTCGCATCTCAGCATGTCTAACAGACATTTCTTGCTGGATGAAGGACCATCACCTTCAACTCAATCTTGCCAAGACAGAACTGCTTGTGGTTTCAACAAACCCATCGTTTCATCACAATTTCACCATTCAGTTAGGCACATTAACCATAACTCATTCAAGAACAGCCAGAAACCTTGGAGTTATGATTGATGATCAGCTGACTTTCTCAGACCACATTGCAAAAACTGCCCGGTCATGCAGATTTGCTTTATTCAACATCAAGAAGATCAGGCCCTTTCTTTCAGTATTTATATAATACTGTTTAAATGTAGACTTATATTCACATTCAAGAGACATTTGAACGCACATCATATTTTATATACAAAGCTCTCTGGGGTGAGCTCTGTTGTAGGAAAATTAATGTTTTACTCTTTATGTATGTCACCTGAAATGCAACAAAGACATCACACAGTAAAACAGAGAGCCTTTGAAGTCTTTAGTGCAGGTAATTTAATCAGGAAAGACAGAGGGGTTAGTACTTTTGGCCTCACGGGTGTGAAGGCACACAAACACACAGTAAAAACAAATGATCAGAAAGAGCCTTTGAACTCTTTAGTGCAGGAAAGACAGAGGGGTTGTTGACCTCACAGATGTGAAGATAATAAAAGCCCAGGGGGTTAGAAGGACCATTGTTTTTTCTGAAAACAGCTAGGTTTTGTTTAAGGAAAACTTGCAAGAAGTGGGGGTGATAACAGTATAATAAGCCTGTCTGCTTTCAGTGTGACTTCAGGTCTGTTGTGTTTCATGGTAGCTGCTGAAACATTATGAACATACCTCTTTAAGGAAAATAAACTTCTTTCCTTAAATATAATTTGATTCCTTGTCTCTTACTCTGTGATGCTATTTTGTTAATAATTGTTTTTGCCACAACAGTATGTATTTATGTATGTAT